GCATATGGTACTGGCAAACTTCAAATAATTGAACAAAACAAATAACTTCATTTCTGGACATTTATGGTTTGATTTCTTTGTATGTATGGATCACTTGGGTTGTTACCAACATCTGGTGAAAATTTCATGTCATTAGCACCTCTAGTAATATATTTACTGAGAAAAATGGTGACGTGTTCAATACTTATTTTACCCGCTGTAAATTGAATGATTTTACAAATGACCACAGATTTAAAGAACACAACTGTGTTCAGAAATGTAAAGGTGTTAACATGAACCTTACATATTTTTTTGAAAACACAAGCTGTTTTAAGATAACTGGCAGTTAGCTCGTCAATTTGGTTAGATTTAAACTTTTTTGTCCTGCTGAGGTTTAGTCTGTCTACCYGTAAGATATTAGTTGTTCTTAACGTTTCCACTGGCTTAAAAGAGCTGAACTTTTGCTTTATGCACACCCAWTGAAAAGAGATGTAACATTACCCAGGCCACTGACGGCAACAACTCACCATATTTGTCATTTACATGTTGTTTATGGGCTCAGCTGAAACATCAGTGTTCTTCTATAAACGCTTTGGTTACTGAGGATTAATCAGCTCAAAGACAAAATGTTTCCAGTCATCAGTTTGTTTATGTGTAGATCTCTACAGCAGGGCAGTGTCGGTGCTTGGCTGTTATTTTACAAAACTGAGCAGAAGTTTTTCTGCTCAGGGTGGACCCAGCCTCTGAGCGGGACGGTGGTACCGGAGGATGTTGTTGGTCTTTCCAGGGAAGCTTCACACACTGATGTGCACAAGCAGAAAAAAAACAGAGCAGAAAGGAAACTATGGAAGCCATTTTCTACCAGGAAAACAAAAACTAAARGCAGAACATTTGAATATTTAATGCTTGAATACTTTTTGCTGCTTGATGTGTTTTGTCTTTTTCTCTTATTTGCTTTAAATGAGCATAAAAATAAGCAAATAAACCACTTTTATTTTTTAAAAAAGAATTGGGTAAAGTAAGTCAAACTTTTTAAGTTTTCCATATTTTCACCACTTTACCATTTCAGAGTGATTGGGCTTTGTTTGTTTGTTTTCCTGGCTGACATGTCCTTCCACAGATGCTCYTCCAGTTAGTGGGAAATGTTTTGCATTGCAAACAAGTCAGTCTATTCAAATTTCTGACGACTCAATCTTCTCTATCCACGGCAGACCCGACGAAGGCGTGTCCTCCACYTTTTCACCCCCCGCCCCGGACTCCAGCACCGGTGCTTCCCTTTCCAGCGTCCCCTCTCTGCTCCYTCCTCCTCCCCCTCCCTCCCCTCGGTCTCTGCATGCCCTCAGCTCGTGCAGCTCCCGCTCCAGCTCGTCGTTGCGGCGGTACATCTCCAAGTAGCTGGTCTGCAGCTCCTTCTGGTAGCGGAGGACCTTGTCCTTCTCTGTCTGCCACGTGTGCCGCTCCTCCTCGAACGCCGAGGCCTGGGCTTCGCTCTGACGCCGCTCCAGGAGCAGCTCGGCGCGCAGACGCTCCTCTGTGGAGCCTCCTGCGTAGACGTTAGAAATGGATTTAGTTACAGACTAAAACACACTTTTCCCATAATGACCTGATTATTGGGATGTGAAACATCAAGTGGGGGGAGGTTTTGACAAGATTTACAGAATTAAATCCACTTCTTTACCATATTTAYCTTCACATCTTACAAAAAATACACTCTGCATTAGCTTGTTTGTTCTTTTAACCAGTGACAGAATCACTAATTACTTGTGTGGGTTGAACACTGAAAAGTTTTGGACCCACTGGTCTAGAGGAGCAGCAGGAGGGACCATGAAGGACTCTGGCTTCAAAGAACCAATCCTCTGATGATTTTAGATCTAAAATTAAAAGCCTCATAACCTAAAATAACCCAGACAAGTGTGCAGTGGGGCGTTGTAGCTTATCAGCTCAAGTTTATAAAAAGAAGATATGAGGACCCAGCGAGGACACGGATACCTGTTACTCCCCCTGCTGATGGATTCTCTTCAGCTCCTTTGCCGTTCTCCCAAGGACCGGGAGAGGAGAACCTTTCACAGCGTGTCCCCTGCAGGACGAGCTGCAGAGCATCGAGCTGAGACTCTCTGTTGCGCAGCTCGGCTCGAGTTTCCCTYAGCTGCGTCTTCAGCTTGAAGATGTCACTCAGCTTCTGGGTCACCTCTGCCTGGGAGTCTCTGAGCTGCTGCTTCAGCAGGGAGATCTCCCCTGATTTCTGGCAAACCTGAGACAGAAAAAATATATGTTTCGTGGAGTTCTCACTCTGCGGGACTTGGTTTCAAACTGAAAAAGGGAAAACAAGGAGGAAATTGAGTTATCTTGTCCGTTCATAACCTCCCTGTCATCCCAAGGCCTCACCTCCCACTGCGTCTCCTCCAGGGTCGGGCTGGTTGGCTTCGGCATGACGGCAGCCTCTCGGCTCGTTTCCCTCTTCAGGTTGTCGAGCTCCTCCTGCAGTCGGRTCTTCTCCTGCTCGGCCTTCAGCAGCTGCAGCTGGAAGCTGCGCTGCAAGCGCTGAGCATGCTGGGAGACCTGGCGCAGCTTGGCAGCGTACAGGCCCTTCAGCTCCTCCACCTCCTTCTCCCACAGACGCTGTTTGCCTTCGAACACCTGAGCGCGTTTTGGACGGGCAAAAAAGCTGGGATTTCAAAAGACGTGTGTGCAGGTGGACGGTCGAAGAACGGAAACTCACCTGAGCGATGGCGCCCTCGCTTTCGTCCAGGTTCCTTTTCATCTGGTTCAGTTCATGCTCCTTCTCCACCAGGCGCTCCTCCAGATCCCGCACCTGGAACAGATCGACAGCTGACTTTCCGACCTGCTCGTCATCCAACATGACCCCCCGTTCTGACACTCCAACCCATTCTCACTCCCGACTCGTCACATATTAACGCTTTTCCAAGGTTCCCTCTGCGTCCGATTTTGACGTGTCGGGAACCCCCCCTCACATCAGTTATTGACGAGGTGGGGCGAAATACGTTGTCATAATTTCAGAAAGTGTAGAAAATGCACAAAAACTAACCGTCCCAAAGCCTAAAATTACCATTATTCACCGTAGAGATCCTGTCTCTGACCCTACTTAAAATTAACCATCAACCCTGATCCCTAAAATTAACTATTTTAGACAGTGTAGGAAATTCACGTCAACTATGCGTCCTAAACCCTAAAATTACCTAATATTCTCCCTATCCCTGACCCCACTACCTAAAATTAACCATAAACCCTGATCCCTAATATTAACCACAGACCCAACTCAAAGACCCCTATGTTTTGCGTCCCAATGCGTCAAACCTGGACGCCYAGGGAACATGGAAATGCCTGGTGCATCAATAACTGACACGACAGGTGTACCCGACGCGTCAAAAAAAGACACAGAGGGAACCTTGGAAAAGCGTCAARATGTGACGAGTTGGGAGTGAGAATGTGTTAGACACTCACCACGTCCTCCACAGACAGAGACGGCGTCCATTCGTAAGGAGGTGGAGCCTCCCCGTACGGAGTCAGGCGGCTCAGGGTGGCCATGCTTCGACACGCCATCTCCCCTATGGCCACGCCCCCCGACCCCACGGCCTTCGGGCCCTGAGACTTTCGGTCCAGGGAGCCGATGGTGTTGATGTGGCCCATCGATGCACTAGAGAGAAATCAAAGAAACCACAAGGTCTCTTCCAGTCTCACAGCCCACACAGAGCACAGAGAGCAGCTGAGGTGTCGCAGCAGACCTGATGTGAGCCAGGTGTGGGCGGAAGGGAGGGCGGTACGGCGGCAGGCTGCTCATCGAGTTGTGGCCCGAGTCCGACAGGTTATCATCCTCCTGGCTCATCACTCGCGCTGAGGGGAGGGCCTGCAGAGTCATAATTACACAGCTACTCAGGTGGAGAGCTTAATTTTACCCTTAAATTATAAAAGATGAAAGTAAATGGAAATGTATGAGTAAAAAAAGACGTGTCTTTTATTAAACTGAATCTGAACTGACTTTACTTCTTACTAAATTGACCGGTGTGGACTGTGATGAAGGAGAAAAGAAGGGTGATATTTTTACCCCTTTTTCTACTTTATTTTACTTTACTGAAGTTTGAGTATCAGATTGACTTGTCAGTCAAAAAGAGCTTGATTAATTTATTCCCACGTTTACAATCAGAACCCAACCCCTGAAGTGGGATCTAAAACTTAGCACAAAAAGTAAGGAAATTTGTATTTGGCAGATTATTTCTTTGTTGTAAAAATACTTCTTAGCAATAAGTTATACTTTTGGAAAGCCTGTTAAATTCTCTTTTAAATGGCGCCACTTTTGTAAGGAACATGCATTTGTAGGATGAGCAGTAGACCTGAGTATGTAAGTTGCGCACATGAAAAATTTGCCAAATCTTCTCTTCCAAACAACTTATTTTATTGTTGCTGTTGACATGCGTTTTGAGTTTCTGTCCCAGTGCTGCCAATCAGGTGCCTGCTGTAAGATTTATTGCCAAGAAGAGTCGTTACAATAAAAAAATTATCTACCAAACACAAATTTTCTTACATTTTGTGCTAAGTATATATTATTACAAGGAACTCAAACAGATACAGTATATAGGTTCAGATATAAATAGAAATATATATTTACTGAATGAGGAAGAGGCTAAAATGTTTAAATCTCCTGAACTTTCCCACTTTTTCCTTTTATAACCACAAACTTAAGTATTTGATGAGATTTTATGCGATAGACCAACACAAATAAGCAAATCACTGTGAACTGGAGGGAAAATGATGCATGCTTTTCAAAAATTTTTACAACAAAATCTACGAAGTGTAGCGTGCATTTGTCTTCAGCTGCTTTACCTCTAAATAAAATTCAATGCAGCAAATGGTTACCTGGTTAAATATATGATTAAGCGTGTGATTTAATTTTAGTATAAATGTAATTGTTCTTTGAAGGCCTCAGAGGTTAGTGATCAAACAGCATCATGAAGACCAAGGAACYCAGCAGCCACGTCAGATTATAAAATGCCATATCGTGGAGCTTGTATGAATTATTTCACTGTTGATAATTACTTAAGCGCAGTAAAATGTATGGTGAATCTAAAATCACAATCCTGTGTTGCGATACCTGATTCACCCCCAGTGTCYGTCCTCCGTGTCGTGAGGGAGAGGAAGACGAGGAGGAGGTGGAGAGTGTTTTAGGGACGTGGCCGTACGCTCTGTGCAGTCCGTTGGAAAGGCCGTGATCCATGTCCTCCAGCTTGGAAGAGGGGTAGAGGTTTTGCATGGAGCTGAAGTTCTTGGGGGTGACGGGCTTGAAGGCGGAAGACCTGAAACGGATCTAAGGCCCAACAAGATTTACAGTCATTCATTCCAAAATGGACAGGAAGTGGAAAGAGGTGTGGAGTGAACAACAACAACYGCCAGAACACAAATCACAACGTTTCTATTAAAATCGATGCTGCGACCCTTTCTGTCTTTTCAGAYTTGATGACTTCAAGCAGGAGAAGGGTGAGATTTGATCGCTGCGATAAATTCAGAATGAGATGAGGGACAGATTCCCAATCTGTGGTGGTGAGCTGGAAGACATCAGGCTGATTTATGCTGCTAACAGCCTGTAGGGGGGTTTCATCATATATGAATCATTTTAGCACAACCTCAGCAGCCTTTCAATGCTTGTAGATGATTTCTAAACAGGAGCACAGTGGCAAATCATTTATCGGCATTCATTTAGATTGACTTGAATGACAACTTCTGCTTTAAATAGTTTTTTTAATGTAAATCTCTGGTGATAGAGCATCTTTTAAGAGATTTCTATCATTCTTACAGATTTGAATATTTTGGCAAGCCCAAAACATTTCCATTTGATATTTATTTTCTATACCTTTTCATGCTTGCCCCCGCTCGGCAGTGAGTTTTTGGTCAGGTCTACTTCAGTGCCGTTTTTATCGTAGATCTTGGCGTAAACGTCGTCGTCCCCTCGGCCGACAATGACATCTCTCTTGCCGTCGCCACTCGGCTCTTGTTTTGGCAACTTCCTGTTCAGAAACAGAGTGGGGGTCAGAGGATGTCTGGCGAGCTGTTGCACACAAACATCAGCCTCCCTGCAGCTGTTCCCACCTGGTGATGTTGAGGTAGTTCAGGAGCTCTCTCTGGGTCAGGCCTTTCTTCAGGAGCCCGTTGGTTTGTTTGGGTCTCACCTGGGGCACCGCGTGGTTGCTTTTAGTCGGAGACACATCGGGCCTCTCCACCAGGCTACCTACGCTGCCCATGTCGCGGTGTGGAGAGAAGGGGGAGGCTGGGAAAGGGCAGCGGAAGTTCTGGTTGGGCCCACGAGTCAAAGGTAGAGTCTGGACTGAGGCTGCCATTGATTACAGGCCACTCCGAGGAGGTGAAGACATCTGAAAAAACGTCGTGTGGAAAAATTAGCTAAATGACTGAGATAGTATAAAACTGTTGTTGAGACTTCAGTTAATATACGGTAGATATGTGACAAACCCGCCTCACGGCAGTCTTGAATGTTTTGTTGTGTGTGCAGTGTTTTCAGACTCCTTTCCAGTTACTGTGTTTTGTCATCCCCAGAGGTATTTCGCTCTGAGTTTTTTATATGATGCAGCAAAGTAGTTACTTTGTCACCATGTTTTTGACTGAATGGATCCTGACGTTTCTTCTTACAGTTCATGGTTTACAAAAGAAAAAGTTGCTCTTTTCAACAAGCTTAAAAAACATGTTCTGGCTCACAACTCAATCAAAGGTATAGCATTAAAATATAATGTTTCATTGCACTGGGCAATAATTCAATAACAATATACAGTTTATTGTGATAGACACACAATCATCAATGGAAAATGTGTCCAATAGAATGTTGATAATTTCACCAACTCTGTACTGGTTGAGTAAAGGTAAAGCAARTTACATTTTCTTTCTAAATAAATGTGAATGTTGCTTAACATTTACTCAACTCAGRTGAGTTGACCTGATGCATCTCAGTAATTCAGGTAAAAAAATCAAAAAGAAAAAAATTGTATAGGTCTTCTGGACGGGTTCCTCTCTAATGAAACGTTTCGTCTCTCCTCCAAGAGGCCTCCGTTTTCAGTTGTCCCCCTCCTACAGTGCTGCTATTGCCAGTATCACTCCACCCCTGTTAACAATAGGTGTTAATTAGGTGTCAACGATAGCCATGTGATGTATCAGTCACCTGGAGGCAGGGCTTAAAAGCCTGAATTTTACCTGAAACTCTCAGACTGAAGAAGTCTCTTGGAGGAGAGACGAAACGTTTCATTAAAGAAGAACCCGTCCAGAAGACCTATACAATTTTTTTCTTTTTGATTTTTTACCTGGATTACTGAGATGCATCAGGACATATTGACATAACTTGGTTAAGTAAATCCAACAATCTGTGTTTTGAGTGTAGCTGGTTTTAGTTATAACCAAAACTTAACTTCCGCCTTTTTAAACAGACTCAACAGTGATTTAACATTAAGCAGACATGAACTAAAATTGCCAACTTCTGAGGAGTAGGTTTAAAAACACTKAAAAATATGTAGCTTTAGCTGAATACCCACCCAACGTCCAATAAAAATATGCAGCCACTTATTGAAAGGACTGAAAATAATCAGAACATTATTATTTTTCTTAACATTGTTTTGCCCATGTAAAAGCCTGTGACACCAAAAGCTAGTTCAAGGCACACTTTTGGGTCCGGAACCACCAGTTGAGAATCATTGACCTAAAATAACCTTCACTGTGGTTTTAATTTGAGTTTTATTCCAGAGGTTATTTCAGTTCAAACGAGTAAAATGTTCTTAGGAATGACCATGAGTTAAACTGCTAATAACATGTATGACAATGAGTTAATACTCTGATAGGAAACATGTAAAACACATTTCACTGATCAATTGTGTTCCTTATGAATGCTGTCCTACTAAGAACAACTTGACATTTTTAGTTTTTAACTTTCATASCAAAAACTCAAYARYTAGGCAGAAATCTYGGGAACTTGGGTGGGTCCYGATCTCCTCAGTTTTGGCAAAATGGAGGTTGTCTCCTCAATAAATCATGTCAGGGAACTGCTTTTGAGCAATACAAAAAAACAGAAAGCATATCTACCATGTCCGAGGCAAAAGGAAGCATTAATGCCTTTAAAAAAAGTCTCAATGATGTAGTCCATTGCACTTCTCTGTGTTGCTCAACATGAAAACATGAATCATATAAATACASTGACGTTTGAAGGATCAACCTGTAGGGTTTAAGTAGTAATCCAAGATGTGACTGAAGACCTACATGTTACAGTAAAATAAATACAGTAATATTTACTTCCCTAAAAACCCTTCATATTTTGCTTCTTGAATGTATATGTGTGTGTGTACACACATATACATACATATATGTATATTCATAAAATATATATAAGCAGTGGTTGTTTCTGCTCAGCTTACCAGCACCACAAAACAAATGAACACAACCAGACCTCCATGTAAACGATGGGAGAACAAGGGACGCAAACTGACTTTGTACAAACAGGCAGGACATTAAATCATCCTTTAACAAAGCATTGTTTCATAAAGGCAAATCTGAAGAGCACAGAGCTGTTTTCTGAAGTAGAGCAACAAATYAACCTGTTATATAACTTTAATCCAACTCAGTTACTACAGTTTGTTTTAATAAAAGCACAGAAAACACTGCTCATAATTCATCCATATTTGTATTTTTAGGGCAATGCTTAAATTGAGTTGGCTGTTTTAATGGTGTAATCATTTTGTTCGTTAACTTTTTCTAAATAAAAAAAAAAACGATGAGGATTTTCTACTGATTTTCATGAAACTAAAAGTTGCCGAGCCGTTCAAACACCCACGAGAGAGCCTGAAGAGCTACTTCACCCCCCTAAACACACACACACACACACACACACACACACACACACACACACACACACACACACAC